CTGCTCTGCTGTCTATAAGCACGGCCAAAAGCACGTGGCTCCCCAAGGAAGGTGCTTTTTGGGTCCTTCCCTGCTTTCTTCACGCCTGCTCTTTGGAGATGCTTCCATCCGAGCTCCACCGCTTCCCTCCCACCCATGCCAAGCCGGCCCTTCGCAGTGGCGTGACTGCCTGCCCCAGTACTGGGCAAGAGCTGGGGAGGAGGCGGTTGGGCTTGGTCTAAAAGGGGAGCGATGGGGACGAGTTTTGCCGCCCGCCAGCGCGGTGGGGGAAATTGGGGACCTTCAGTGCCGCAGTGCCATCGAAGGGGGCTCGGGCAGGGCGGGCACGCGAGTGAGGCGAAGGCTGTTTTGGAGACGTTGCTATGCCCAATTGTTTTGTTGGGTTGGAACCACAAACCACAGAGCGAAAAGCATAGGTGCGCCGCTGGTTTTTTTTTTTTTCTTTCTTTCTTCTTCTTTTCTTGTTGTTTGAAAGAAGTAAAACAAAACAGAAGCCGTTGAGAGGGGTGGGGGGTGTGAAACCATCTCGAGAGAGAGTTGGGGATGACATGTTTCGGGCCGTGCTTTCCTGGGTACAGCACGAATGCCCGTCTGCCCCAGCCGGGTGGTACCGCCATCATCACACCGGTGAAAGTGGCCGTCGTGCTTAATTTGGCTTTCAAACCCCTCCCGAGCCACTGGGTAAGAAGGTGGTGGGGGACCTCCAATCCTGACCAAGGCACAGGGATGGCGTGGCACCAAATCCTTTGCTCTGGGGACACCCACGGGTGGCACTGAGGGACCGCTGCCAAGGAGGCACCGCTCAGCCAGCGGTTCCCGCCGGAGCAGCCGGCCGTCATCTGGCTTAAGAGGCATATTTTCCCCCTGACGCGGGAGAATTCCTACGGTGTGACACTCCCCGCTGAAGGACCCCGTTCAGTGCCACCAAGACCGGACAGGACTCCCATTGTGGCCTCGTCGGACGGACAAGCCCCTCCGGCGGGGGCTATTCTTAGCAACCTCCGCGAGTTCTGGAGGTCGTGGTGAGGCGGGAGGACATCCCACCAACCCTCTTGAGTCCTCGCCTTGTCTTTTGGGGAGCGGAGGCTGCCCCCGTTCCCCCAGCCAGGGCCAGGCTTACTCTGGGAAGCCTCTAGATATGTGTGGTGCCATAAAGGGCGGCTTGTGTCCCACCACCCCGCGCTTGGGGCTGCATCCAAAAAAAAGGCAGCGAGAATGCTCCAGTGGTGGTTGTTTTTGGAGATAACCAAGGCAACAGGTCGCCTGGTGGGGTACCGAGCTACACCAGCTTTTGGGCAGTCGGTGGGGCTGTGCGTGCTCGTACCGTGAAGTGATGTGGACCAGTCATCGCCGTGGGGATTTCCAGCTCCGGCCGGGGACGAGCAGAAGGGTTGAAGCAGAAGGGATGGAAAATGGGCGCTGCTCCCAGCTCCTGTGGGGGCGGAGGTTTGGGGTGCGGAGACAAGCCCGGCAGCTTCATGCTTGCCCTGATTGCTTTGGGGCTGCCATGTTGGGGGGATCGCGTCTGTGCAAACCAAGGGTCCCCTTAAAATCCTTTAGGCGTTGGGAAAAATAACTCCCTGCTCCTTGCTGGGCTACAGGGTGGGCAAAAGAAGCTTATTTCTGAAGATGGTTCACCCAGCGCTAATTACAGCTGTGCTGGTCCACCAGATGCTGGATGGACCTCCAGCACCCCTGCCCTGTGATCTCCCCAGAGCTGGTTTTGGGCACGCAGGCTCGGGCACGCGCTGGGGTTTGGTTCCTGCCACCTCCTGCATCACCCACTTCGCTGACATTTGGGAGTCGTGCGGCAGCGGCACATCTGCAGGGCCTCCGCTGCCTTCCCCTCTGGCAGGGCGTGTGTTTATAGGAGCTGAGACATGCCTGCGAGCCCTGCAGTAAACACATTCTTGACATAATTGCTTGTCCAACACAGAGGAATTTGGGGTTTTACACTCGTCCCGCAGGCAGCTCGGAATAGACCTTGGGAATCCCTGTTCCAAGGATGACACCGCTTCCTTCAAAATCCCAAAATACCCGGCGGAGTGGCACCGGGCGGAGCGGCAGGAGCCCTACCTCGCTTGTTGGAGAGAGGGCGAGAAATCGCTGGGTTTCCCAACGCCTCTCCATGCCAGCTGGCGGCCGAGCCACGAGCATTGAGCGGCCGTTTGGCTAGGGTTGATGATGCTCGGACCTTGAAAGGCTCCTGCAAAGCCACGGTGGCCCAGGGGTGTTTTGAGGGCGGTTGCTTACCCGAAAACCTGGTGCCCGGGTGATAGGTTTCCATCCATCTTATTTCGGGGAGGGAATACAAAAATAAAAACTCCTTGTTCTGTGGTTGGGCAGGAGAGAAATCAATGTGAGGTGACAAACCTGGTCTTGCTTCTATCTTGTCTCCTGGGAGTGTTTCTCTGTCAACCTGATTTGGGCGGCTCTCCCCTCCCTGTGTGTAGGGA